AAGTGGCAACGGAGAGGGTAGGGATGGAACGGCAGCACAAATGGGAAAATTCTTCCATTATGTTGGTTGTGAATTGTCCCAGAGTATAATTATATATACTATAATATCTAACCCAGCACTGTCTGGCTCTGGCTGAAACTGTTTTTCTGCATCTATAGCTGGAGGGAAGGTGGATTTTGATGACTTTGTGGAACTGATGGGCCCCAAGATGCTGGCAGAAACGGCAGACATGATTGGGGTGAAAGAACTGCGGGATGCCTTCCGAGAGGTGAGAGTCACATGACTCAACTTGAGGGACCAGAGGAGGGTAGCATCAGACGGTGGGTGACTGGGTGGTATCTTGAGGAATCTTATTTCTCATTCCACTGTCCTGTCTTCTCATATAGTGGTTCTCCCAGGCAACACAAAACACAAACGTAGGGTTACTATATTCCCAAAAGTGAAAATCCAGACAAAGTTGGCTTTTTTTTGGTCAAAGTTTTTGAGCTTTTTGGGGGTGCTTTTTTTTTGGGATTTTTACAGCATTTTCCCTTAAAAATTGCCATAGTTGCCGTATGTCTGGGTTTCCCCAGACATGTTGCCAGTTGGGCAAAAGTCTGCCCAGAATGATGCCATTTTGACAGTCTTGATTCCGGGAAACCTGGATGTATTGCAGCCCTACACAAAACAGTTCTCAAGCTGCTTCATTTGATTTCATCAGTGCCACTTAAAGCACTTCACTCTTGCTGTTGGTGTACATGTGTGGATGTCAGTGACAATCATGAAGGAAAGTGGATTGACACTGTCACTTCAGCCTTCCTGAAGTTTTTCTGCCACCTGAGAACAGTGCACCCACCCAACCATCATTTTGTGATTTGGACTCTTCCAGAAGATGGGGGTTGTTCAGCATTCATCCTGATTTGCTTACAACAAAGTTTAAGCCATGGTTAGACTAGTCTTTATGGAGCATTTGTTTAGATTTCATGGAATCTGTAGCGTAGACAGGGGCCCCGAGGGTCATCTAGTACAACCTCCTGCAATGCAGGAATCTCAACCAGATCATACATGACAGATGGCCATCCAAACTCTTCTTAAAAACCTCCAAGGAAGGAGATTTCACCACCTCTCATGGGAGTCCGTTCCACTGTCCAACAGCTATTGCCGTCAGAAAGTTCTTCCTGATGTTTTCGTCGGAATCCCCTTTCTTGTTGTTTGTTTACAGGGTAATTATATAAGAATCAACCTTCATCCTGATTTTCTTACAGGGTGTTTACATGTCTTCCCAGTAAGCATTCATTCATCCTGCACTTTTTAATGTGTTTTTCTACTACTTTCCAAAGTGCAAAAAGTCTTCTTCTTTTTATAAAAAAAAGGTGGTTTTGTCTTTCCAAGAGAACAATATGCTTCCATCTACTTCAGTTGCGCTCAGGGAGGTGAGCACAAGAGACTGGAAAATTGTGTGGATATGGTAGATGGTTAAACAAGGTGCTGGAATCAGGGTTGTTTATTTGTTTCCTTCCAGTTTGACACAAATGGCGATGGACAGATCAGCATAGCTGAGCTAAGGGAAGCCATGCGCAAACTCTTGGGACAGCAGCTGAACTACCGTGAGGTGGATGAGATACTCAAAGATGTTGATCTGAATGGGGATGGCCTTGTGGACTTGAAGGTATCAGGAAAGCCCTTCCTTTGAGGGATGATGATGATTTGCTTTTCTAACTGGGAAAGAAGTGAGGATTTAGGCTGGGAGGAGGATCTCATCCTGCTTTTGAAAACGAATGCAGGATGTAGAGTAGGGGTGGGTAACAAATTTGGCTCTTTGGGCTAAATCCTTATCTGACTGCCCCCCATGGGCCAACTTTGACTGTTGGATGGGACAACCCGCCTGTTGAATCACAGGATGCCATTATGACATCAAATGATTTGACAGGTGGGTTTTCCTCCCGACCTGTTAAAATCCTGTGTGCAGTAGTCCCCAAATGCCCAACAGGTTGCTGAATGTTGGAAACACTATTCTTGCCACTTTGAGAAGCCCCCAGGCATAGGGCTTTGTGAGTCCTGCCAAACCAATTTGAAGTCTGGCTTTTAGAGTATTGATGGTGTGAGCAAGTTGCCTGCAGGGAACTTGTATGCAACTACCTCAGCAGGCTATGGCTTTGCCACCCATCAGCTGGTGCTTGAAGCTTGCTTTCCCTCGCCCATGCACTATCGCAGCCTTCTTGAAGTCTTACAGTGCACTGGCAGCCACATCTCTACCTGCCCCACACCTGACCTCACTGTGGGGCAGGTGGGCATGGTTTGGGTGAAAACAGCCTTATGGCCACATTTGAACCCCTGGGTTGGGCCCAATTTTGGCCCCTGTTCCAGAAATTCCATACTGCTATAGATCCTTGATGCAGGAAAGAAAAGGAATAAAGTCAAAACTGGATTTAGGAGGAGTCACTTCTAATTTTGAGGGGATAGTTGGGAATCGGATCATAAAGATAACATTTGGAAGCCAGGTTCCTAGGTTTTATTTTAAACCAGAGCTTATTAATATGCTAATATATTCCATGCTCTGTATGCACTTCCCTTCAGTTGAAGTTGCACAACTGAATGACAGAATCAGGTTTTGCCTATACAGTGATGGTGTCTTCAGTGACAGCACTCTTCCTTTTCCCATGCCCTTATGGGAGAAAGTTAATATGTTTATTATTCAGGGACATTACTACAGCAGAGACCAAAATCAATTTGCACTCGGTGAAGCAAGGAAAGTGTTGAGCAGGTTTTGCCCTTCCTCAACAGTGTTGCTTCTCACAGCTGATTTACATTTTTAAATGTTTTATTGAAAGATTTTTCTGTAAGTAACAAAAGTACATTCAGTGCCTCTGTTTTTAAATTACCGGTATAGCATCCTTCATACCAATCAATTGCAGTTGGTATGAGACTTTTTTGTTGTAAACAATGTGGGGTTGGGGGGGGGGAGAGGAGAGGGGAGAAAGTAGAAAAAGAGAAAGTTAGGAGGGGGAAGTAGGGGAGATGAGAGTCATTAAACATTCATTATTTGCAAACTATTGTTCTGTTAAGCTCATTGGGAATTTAGTGAGCCTCACTCTGCATAGCCCTGTCCTGGATTGTATTTCATGGCCATACTAGAGCAGCCTTTCCCAACTACGTACACTTCAGATGTTTTGCACTACATCTCTCATCATCCCTGACCATTGGCCATGCTGGGGCTGATGGGAATTGTAGTTCAAACATCTGGAAGGCACCAGGTTGGGGAAGGATGCTCTAAAATGTGACGGAATGTTAGAAGAGTGGGATGGGATATATGGAACTGAGCTGGATGGATAGACAGACAGAGAGATGGTGGTTTCCCATACATTCTCTAGTTATCTATAAAAGATAGTCCCTCTTCCGGGCTAGCAGCTGATAGAAAATGCTTTTCTCTCCCCTCCTGATGACATATTTGGATCCCCCTTCCTGCAGAGTTTGTACGGATGATGTCTCGCTGAGAGCAGCCAGCAGCAGCAGCCCCAGGCTGAAGTGCCTTACGGAGAGGAGAGACTTCAAGCTGCTGTATATCCTGATCTAACATCAGGAGCAATGGCAGCATGCGAGAACTTCCTACACATCCTGTGTACCCTGCTTGGAGCCAAACAGCCACTCCTAAAGTCCAGAGACTTGCATCAGCTTCAGCACCTTCAATGACATCCTTGACTGGATCTCAAGACTGATACCCCATCTACTGTTTTAGAGACAGCCACGACCCCAAGCTCTCAGGCTCCGGATGTCATTGTACCTTGCCTTTACTCTGTTCTCTGTAACGCTGACCTTTCACCCCAAGCATACCTTAAGAAGGAACAATCAACCAACAACAAAACTCTCTTAAATATTCTGCATGCAATGGTGTGACAATATTTGAAACGCTTCACCGTCCTA